ACAATTTTGTCGCCCATGCTTTACCACACCTTCCCCATGTGCACATTTCCTCTGCTTCTGTCTTATCCAAAGCAAACACACACTCTGGAGTTTACTGCTGGCTTTGGGCTCCATTGCCTGACTTGTCTTTTTGTGTCTCTTCAGTTTTGTTTGTGGAATTTTTTGTGGGGTGGGTGGGTAAGGCTATTGGAATACAAATCACACACTAGGAATTCCCAGTGAAAATGCCAAGTTCTATTATTTTACTAATTATTGTAAACAGAGGAACAGGAGAGGACACAGAAGAGCCCAGTTAAGCCCCAGGGCCAGCTGACATTGACTTTGACACATGCATAATAGGCTTTGTGCTGACCCTGGCCTGAGGGAGGTTATCACTGTCTCCTTCAGTGGCAGAACAGTGGGGTGGTTCAAAGATAAGCACCCCTCCCGTTGGCAATGACACACCAGAGTCCTTTGGTTCATTTCCCTATGGTTAGGGACAGGGTGGTCATAAATTGAGATGCAGTGAACAAGAAGACTTCATAGCTACTGACACTAAGTACATGGGCGGGGCTGTTGCTCGGCGCTATAGTAATTGCCTAGCACCCAGGAGGGGCCTCTGGCTTCCACCCCTTGGAACCCAGAACCAAAAATCTAAATGCAGAGGTTCTTCCCCGAACACTTGTGCTACTCCATGCAGTTGCTGTAGGAAACTAATGAGGACATTAGTTAGTGTCACTGATTAGTTAGTGTCACTGACAGCTTCCAATAAGAAGCTGTTAACTGTCTCGATATCATCGGTGGGGTTGGAAGTCAGTTCTGATGAAAGAGGCCCGAGTCTGCCCTTTGCCACAGACAGGAGGGACTGGGGTCTTCAGTGCCATGTTCATGTTTGATTGTTAAGCATAGAACTGCAGCTCCAGGTGGACTTCTAGAAACCCAGGTACTGTCAGTGAGGCCAGTGAGGTCTTCATGTCTAACTAATATGTAAGAAGCCACAGAAGATCAGAAAACAGTCAAAGGTGCAAGCCCGCAGGCTTGTCCTCGCCACTTTCTTGTTAATTAGATTAAACTGTGTCAGGCCTGATCCCTTCAGGCTTTAGGGTGGGCAGACTGAACTTTACCTACCCTTTCATGCTACCTGATAACCACAGTGTTCTTATTTCTATCCATCCACTTTATAGGTAAGTCATGAAAAACAAAACAAAACAAAAACCTTCATTTCTTTGCAGATAAAAATGAATGTGAAAAAAGTTAACATGGCCAGAATCTATCTTGACATATAATGAGATGGTAGCTGTGGAATGGACATAATGAGGAGCAAACATGGGTTAAATTCTGTGTCTAGATCCCCTTGCCTGGCAAATACCTGATGCCAGAATCTAAACCTAACACTGTCAAGTTCCAGTAACTTTCTTGGGGAGAGGTGAGCAAGTATCTCTTTAACCAGATAGGGTATCAGCGATAGAACCAAGAAACGGTTCTACCCAAGACCCACATGGGAATCAGTTAGCTCATTGGGCTTATGGACAGGAAGGTAGATGACGCACAAATGGCTGCTTCCCTGAGAAGCCCCCTACCCCAGCATGTCTAACAACTTCTCCAGAGCAACACAGGTGGAGTCACCTCTGGTAAACCTCTATCCTTTAGAGCAGTGCTCTCAACTTCCTAACGCCGTGACCTTTAGTACAGTTCTTCACGCTGTATTAAACCCCAACCATAAGTTATTTTGTTGCCACCTCATAACTATAATTTTGTAATATTATGAATTGTTATGTAAATATTTTTGGAGATAGAGTTTGCCAAAGGAGTCATGACTCATAGGTTAGGGACCACTGCCCTAAATGCTGTAGCCTCCCCAAAGACCGTGTTCAGCTAGGGCACAGTAGCAGGGATGGCAGGGAAGAGGCTCTGGTTTCTCAGGTGAGCCTGTGAAGACTCTCAGGCCTGGTCTGGTTGAGGGTCTCCTCTACATATCCAGAACTGTTCTTATTACTATGGTTCTGGCTATTATTTTTTGAAGACCAGATTCTTCAACATTAGTGTGTGTGTTTAATTTTTTTTTTCCCTTGAGTGACCCACCACCCAGTTCCCAAATAATCCACATGGAGGCTTATTCTTTCTTATATGCCTGGCCTCAGCTTGGATTGTTTCTTGCCAGATTTTCTTATATCATCCAGTCTTTTGCCTCTAGGCTTCTACCTTCTTTCTTTCTGTACACCTTTCTTTCCTTCTTACTCTGTGGCTGGCACCTTGTATCCTCCTCTCCTTTTCTTGTTCCCTGATCTCTCCTCCTCTTTATTCTCTCTGCCTGCCGACCTCTCTAGCCTTTCTCCTGCCTTGATGTTGGCCATTGTGCTCTTTATTAGACCAATCAGGTGTTTTTAGGCAGACAAAGTAACACAGCTTCACAGAGTTACACAAATGCAACATAAAATAGTGCAGCACACCTTTGAATCATTAAACAAACATTCTGTAGCATAAACAAATGTCACAGTGTGTGTGTGTGTGTGTGTGTGTGTGTGTGTGTGTGTGTGTGTGTGTGTGTGTGTTTATATTGTGTGAACTATTTCTGGGGTGACAAAAACAATCATCTACCTATCCCAAATATGGAACCAGCATCATGCGGCCCAAAGTAATGGTAACACCGAAGACCAACTTGGTGAACCAATGAGTTTATTGGAGTTACTTCCAAGAGTATGGGTTAGGAGTACTTACAGACAGGAGTACTTACAGACAGGAGTACTCACAGACAGGAGTACTCACAGACAGGAGTACTTACAGACAGGATACTTACAGACAGGAGTACTTACAGACAGGGATACTTACAGACAGGATACTTACAGACAGGAGTACTTACAGACAGGAGTACTTACAGACAGGATACTTACAGACAGGACAACTCAAAGGCAGCTGTATCATTGAAAGCCTACCCTAGCAGTCATGATGGCTCATGAAAGGTAGAGCTCAATGCACAACTTACAAGCAGCTCTATTAGTTGAAGGGTCTCCTCTCCTTAGCCCTCCTTACTGCTTATATAATCTTGAAATCAGGGAGGGACTGTAAATGGAAGTTTCTCTGTCCCACCTGGTCCCACAGGCACTTCTAAATAATCACTCAGAGGCTTAATATTAATTACAAACTGCTTGGCCTCTAGTTCAGGCTTATTACTAACTAGCTTTTACATTTAAATTAACATATTTTTATTAATCTATGTATTGCCACATGGCTGTGGCTGTGGCTTTTAGCAGTCTGCTGGTATCTTGTTTCTTGGGTGTCTGGTTTGTGTCTCTTCTTGACTCTGCCCTTTTTGCTCCTTGTCTTCTGTTTGGTTTTCTTTTCTTTTCTTTTTTCTTTTTTTTTGTTTGTTATTTTTCGAGACAGGGTTTCTCTGTGTAGCTTTGGAGCCTATCCTGGCACGCACTCTGGAGACTAGGCTGGCCTTAAACTCACAGAGATCTGCCTGCCTCTGCCTCCCGAGTGCTGGGATTAAAGGTATGCGCCACCACCGCCTGCTTGTTTGGTTTTCTCACCTTGCTATATTCTGCCTTGCTATAGGCCAAATCAGCTTTTCTTATCAACCAGTGAGTGTTGTAGAATATTATTTTTGTTTATGTTGTGAAACATTTGTTTTAATGATGCAAAGATGTGTTGCTTTTGTTTACACTGCATTTGTTTACCTCTGTGAAGTTGTGTTACTTTGCCTGCCTAAAAGTCCTGATGGTCTAATAAAGAGATGAACAGCCAATAGTGAGGCAGGAGAAAGGAGAGGCAGGGCTGGCAGGCGGAGAGTATAAATAGAAAGAGCAAGATAAAACAAGGAGAGGAGGACTTCAGGGTCCAGCCTCCCATTCACCCATCCAGCCACAGTGGAAGAGCAAAATATATATAGAAGTAAAAAAAAAGGAAAAATTCCAGAAGTAGTCAGGTTAATTTAAGTTAAAAGCTGGCAAGAAACAAGTCAAGCTAAAGCAAGGCATTTATAAGCCTGTGTGTGTGTGTGTGTGTGTGTGTGTGTGGTGTCTGACTGGTCTATATGCCTGTCTGTGTTCATGTGTGTGTATGTGTGTGTGTATATGTGTGTGTGTATGTATCCATTGTGTGTGTATATTGTCCGTGTCTGTGTGTGTGCATGTGTGTGTGTCTGTGTGTGAGTGAGTGTCTGTGTGTGTGTGAGTGTGTGTGTGTCTGTGTGTGTGTGAGTGTGTGTGTGTCTGTGTGTGTGTGAGTGTGTGTGTGTCTGTGTGTGTGTGAGTGTGTGTGTGTCTGTGTGTGTGTGAGTGTGTGTGTGTCTGTGTGTGTGTGAGTGTGTGTGTGTCTGTGTGTGTGTGTGTGTGTGAGTGTCTGTGTGTGTGTGAGTGTCTGTGTGTGTGTGGTGTCTGACTGTGTCTGTATGCCTGTCTGTGTTCATGTGTGTGTATGTGTGTGTGTATATGTGTGTGTATGTATATTGTCCGTGTCTGTGTGTGTGTGGTGTCTGACTGTGTTCCTATGCCTGTCTGTGTTCATGCGTGTGTATGTGTGTGTGTATATGTGTGTGTATGTATATTGTCCGTGTCTGTGTGTGTGTGTGTGTGTGTGTGTGTGTGTTTAAAGGGAGACTAGTAGATATTAACATTAAAACCCTGTTAGCACCAAATGGAAATTTGCTTGTCAATGATTTCAGGAAAACTGAGAGACAATGAAGGGGATGACTCTCTCTTCATTATGTTATTTGCTTATTGTTGATGGTCACACATGCATCCCTGGTAGTTAATGATCTTTAATGCCATGCCTGTATAACTCCTAAGGCTATCTCACAGACCTTGTGAAATCAGTAGGTACCCGGGCCTCCCTCTTAGGAATGACAGCAGCCATTAAGAGGACAGACACTTGCAATGCCCAAGCTCAGCTGGCTGCTGTGGCTTCAAGAGACAGAACACTCACACCGAGTCAGCTCAGTGCCCTGCTATGAAGCTCAGATACCACGGATCCAGGCTGCTGGCCTGACCACCATGAAATTGTCATTCTGTGCCCTGCAGGGACAGAGCCACCAGCCTCTACGGAGATCCAAGAGAAGATGGGTTCTCACCACCCTAGAACTGGAAGAGGAAGACCCAGGGCCCTTTCCCAAACTAGTTGGGGAGGTAAGAACATACTTGTACTTCTATGACCAGCGCGTCCCTTCTGGAGGGAGGAGTGAAAGGATTCCTGCTGGCATTTATTGATTATCTCTTTAGGGAAAGGCATTTATTGATTATCTCTTTAGGGAAAGAACCCAGGACCACACCACCCACATTAGAAAGGGCCCGACTCACAGTCAAGCAATGAGGACAAGCAGGCAGGACACTGGCTGGGACTCTGATGCCTGATTGCTGGGGACCATCTGAGTTTGTACCTTTGGGCTGGTGGCTTCTCCCTGTGACTGTGTGATAGTAACTCTAACATGCAGGTCTGCTTCACTGGTCCCATGCAGACATTTATTTTTTATTTCATTCTTGATGTAGGGAGAGCTTATTTAAAGACCTGCATTGCTATAGGGTATGGTGGTATACACCTGTAAAATTCCATCACTGGGAGAGAAGATGCTTGCTGCCAAGCCTGACAACCTGAGTTTGATCCCCAGGACTCAGGTAGAAGAGAGAACTATTTCCTGGTAGTTGTCCTCTGATCTCCACTAGCATGTACATGCACACACACACACACACACACACACACACACACACACACACACTCTATCACACACACAACACACACACACACACTTTCACACACACAACACACTCACACACACACACACACACTCACACACACACACACTCACACAGACTCACAAATGATGATTATGTAGTAATTTATTTTGAAAAGAGTAAGATTCAGCTCTTCATAGCGTCTCTTTGTGAAAAGTTAAATGTGAGCTTCCATTCTCTTCCTCTCAAGAGAAAGCCATTAACAAATTGGTATGTGTTCTTCCAGACATGTTGGTGCAGACTTAGGAATATGTGTAAGGAAAAGGTGCCAGCTAAAGAAACACACTTTGGCCCTGCAAACAGAACCAAAGAAATGCACCATGACCCTAAAACCAGTGCCAAAGAAACACACTTTGGTCCTGAAACCAGAGCCAAATCTGACCCTAAGCCTGTGCAGAAAACTGACCAATCCCTGAGCAGGAGATCTAGCCATCCTAAGCTTAAGGATTGAAATCTGACCAATCCCCACCCTGGAAAAACTCTGCCCCTTAAGAATCCCTATATAAACCCTGTGTCTGTTCAGCTTGTGGCTGTTCAGACTGCCTGGCTGTCCTCTGACACCCTGGCAGAGGGCAGCCACTCTCCTGGATTCTTCCCTCCCAATAAATTTCCTGAATGACTTTGGGTGAGACCTTCTTTTGTGGTGGAGCAGATCAGGGCTGTAACACTTTCACCAGGGAAACCTTCCTCTGGCAGAGCAGAGTTGTTACACCCGGCTCTCCACTCTCCCAGGAGCAGAGCTGTACTGTAACAACTTTGCTGGGGAAACCCTTTCCTGAAGGAGCAGAGCTGATACACTGGGGAAACCTTCCCTGAAGCAGGGCTGTAAGCTGCTGTGCTTACTGTATTCCTTGGTTCCCAAGCTCCAGGATACTTTTCATTCTGAGCTGTGTAACCCTCAGTATTCTGAGACTCCAGAATACCTGTCCCTTCCGATCCTCCCAAACCCTTACAATGTGAGAGTGGATTTATTAAAGGACCAAGATCACAGCTCGAGTTCCCTTCTGGGACTTGCCTTTCTTATTGAAGGGTGTGGCTGCCAGACTGTCCTGGCAGGACACATCCTTAACCTTCTTGAAGGAAGAAGAATGTCCGAGGCAATGGGATGGGCATTCCGGTGTGGGGGGTTTTCTAATCCCATAAACATCCGTGCAATTTCCAGGTTCTCTAGTCCAGTCCAAGGTGCAGCCCACATATTTTGTTGTTGTTGTTGTTGTTTGCTTTTCAAGGCAGGGTTTCTCTGTGGCTCTGGAGCCTGTCCTGGCACTCACTCTGTAGACTAGGCTGATCTCAAACTCAAAGAGATCCGCCTGCCTCTGCCTCCCGAGTGCTGGGATTAAAGGCGTGCACCACCAACGCCTGGCTCACATCTTCATTTTTAAAAAGACTTTTTTCAACAGTGTTTTTTTATGTGTGTGTGTGTGTGTGTGTGTGTGTGTGTGTGTGTGTGTGTGTGGTGTGTATGTGTATGTGATGTATGTATGTGTGTGTATGTTGTGTGGTGTGTGTGTATGAGTGTGGTGTGTGTATGTGTATGTGTGTGTAGTGTGTGTATGTGTGTGTGTATGTGTGTATGTGTGTGTGTTTGTGTGTGTGGTGTGTGTGTATGTGTGTGCTGTGTGTGTATGTATATGTGGTGTGTGTGTGTATGTTTTGTGGTGTGTGTGTATGTGTGTGTATGTGTGTGTGGTGTGTGTGTATGTATGTGTGGTATGTGTGTGTATGTGTGTGTGTGTGTGTTGTGTGTGTGTGTGTGTGTGTGTGTGTGAGAGAGAGAGAGAGAGAGAGAGAGAGAGAGAGAGAGAGAGTGTTATGTGTGTGTCTGTGTATGTATGTGTCTGTGTGTGTGTGTGTGTACATCTGTGTGTTGTGTGTGTGTATGTGTGTGGTGTGTGTGTGATTGTGTGTGTGTGTATGTATGTGTGGTATGTGTGTGTATGTGTGTGTGGTGTATGTGTGTGTGTGTGTGTGTGTGTGTGGTGTGTGCATGTGTGTGTGTTTGTGTGTGGTGTGTGTGTGTATGTATGTGTGTGTGTGTATGTATGTGTGTGGTGTGTGTGTATGTGTATGTGGTGTGTGCATGTGTGTGTGTGTGGTGTGTGTGCTCATGTGCACCCATGCATATGCGTGTAGGTGTCTGTGGATGCCAGAGGAACAGAATCTCCCTGGAACTGGACTTATAAGGGGTTGTGAGACTCCTGAAATGGATGCCGGGAACCAAACTCTGGTCTTCTGCAAGGACAGATAAGTAAGCACTCTTAACCACTGAGCCAGCTCTCCAGTCCCAGACTGCATTTTTATTATTTGTAGTGACATGTATCTACATGTCCTTGTGTAGGTTTGTGCATGAATGCAGACAGAAGCCAGGGGTGTCTCAGAGCTAGAATCACAGGTAGTTTTAAGCTATAAGGGAACTGGGAAGCAAACGCTTGTTTTCCGGAAGAACATGGTGCTCCTCTCCAGCCCCCACCCCAATGTCATCTATGCTGAGCCCTCTGCTTCCTTAGCACAACCCCTCAGAAGTGTGATGGCTTGCTTAGACTCCTGAAAGAGGCCTTGCTTCTTAGCCTTGATTTTTGAGGATCACCATGTTTGTTAGCAGGTTCCTGTAATTTTTTTTTCTGTCCTCCCCTACTTTCCAGCTGTTCAATAATATGTCAAATAATGTGTCACTGATGTACTTGATCAGAGGACCTGGCGTGGATGAATTCCCAGAGATCGGTTTATTCTCTATAGAAGACCACCAGAGTGGAAAAGTGTATGTCCACCGACCTGTCGATCGAGAAGCAACGCCGTCTTTTATGGTATCTACAAGGGGATATATTCTAAGCTTGTGTTTAGTGCAAAGCTCTTGTAAGACATTGAACTTGGTAAGCACTTGTTGGCTAACTCTGTTGGGATCTGGGAAATTGGTGCATTATCTGGTGTGGCAGGTTTTGGAGGTATGTGTGGGGCACAGCTAACTTTGGAGTCACCGTTGGAGTGTGGTGCAATGGGGATGGGGTACTATTGACAAGCTTTCAGGCCAATGTCCCAACAGGACCAAGAGACGGGAAGTCACTTGGGGGATGGAGTCACAGAGTGTCTGTAGAATGCTGTGATTTGGTTTCTGGCGGCTAGCATTTGGAGTGTGGAGAGCAGCTAAACACAGAACCAGGGGTTGCCAAGTAGCTTCTACAGGATGGTTTGCTGACCAGGTCTGTGTGTGCTCAGGGACTTTATCACTTCAATGCCTTTGTTGAGGTTGAAATTCAGGTTCCAAACCAGGAATGAGAATTACAAAGAAAAGAGCCTCAAGTCACAGTGGTTGGCATCTCATGTTCCAGCCTCCCCTGGCTACACAGGTTGTCATCCTTTGTTCCTGTAGATTGTGGGAACAGACCTTGGCTGTCAGTTAACCCCTTCAGGGTGGGAGTGCGATGTTTACTATCTGAGAAAAGTAATTTATAATGCATTCCCTCAGAAGCCTCAAAATACTTACAAACACAACAAAATATAAGTCTTAAAGTCATCAGAAGGCTCTGACTCATTTTTAAAGGCACAGGAATGCTCCTCAAACCAAGCTCCTCAGGAGGCAAAGTTGAATCTGTGGTTCTTCTCTAGCCGCGTGGTCTTTGTCTTCTCTAGCTTCCCTGTCTGCAGGATTTATGATGTCATTAAAAAGGGTAAAGTATGAGAGAGATGTTGAAGGAGCTTCTCAGTTCTTCATAAACAAACCAACCACCGGAGGATCTTGGGAAAATGCAGATTCCGGGGTGGGGCAGTGTCTCAGTGTGCAAAGTGCTTGCTGTCCAGACATGAAGCCCCAAGTTTGAGTCCCAGAACCTGTGTAAAACTCTGAAAGCTGTGTGTACCATGGCATCAGAGCTGGGGATGCAGAGACAGGAGGATGGATCCCTAGGGCTGGCCGGTCAGTAGAGCAAAAACTAGTGAGCTCCAGTGTATGAGAGACACTTTCAGAAAAAATGCTGTGGAGAAATTGAGGCAGACACTTGATGTAGGCCTCTGGTTTCCACGAACAGGTGCACACATGTTTACATATTCATGAACACACATGTACAGACTGCTCATTCATTTGGACAGGACCAGACAGTCTGTATCTCTAAGGAGCCCTGAAGTGATGCTGGCCCTTCTGTTCTGGGCTGCTGTGCTAAGGGGCATGGTCCTGGTGCACTGTAGAGAGGAGCTTCAGCAAGATCGAACCACATGTTTAGTTCCAGTGTGGTTGTTGTTTGTTGTATGTGTTTGACACAACTCGGGCTTGACAGTATGTTTGGTACCCGTAAGCCGTTAACAGCCCCATCCCTAGGAGCTTTTTTAAATTTTGGGTTGGACTGAATTTTGGGTTGAACTGAATGGTTTTGTGTGTCAACTTGACACAAGCTAGAGTCATCAGAGAGAAAGGACACACCGCTGAGGAAATGACTCCATGAGATCCAGCTGTAAAACATTTGCTCAAGTAGTGACCAATGGGGGCCGGCCCAGCCTATAGTGGGTGGTGCCAACCACGGGCTGGTGGTCCTGGGTTCTGTAAGAAAGCAGGCTGAGCAAGCCATGGAGAGCAAGCCAATAAAGCAGCACCCTCCATCAGCACCCCTGTGTTATAGGCTTCTGCCTCCAGGATCCAGCCTTATGTAATCTCCTGTCCTGACTTCCTCCAGTGACTACGATCTGGAAGTGAAAGCTAAATAAACCCTTTTCCCCAACTTGCTTTTTGGTCATGGTATTTGACCCCGACTAACATACTGTGTAAGTCATAGATAGTTCCCAGGCATTTAGAACAAAAAGCTGTAACATGTTAGACACTCTTCCAAAGGGACATGTGGTGGTTTGTTGTTGTGTGTGGGTGTTGTGGGGTGTGGGTGGAGGGGGGTGTTTTTTAGGTTAGCCACTAGAGCAGACCACCTGGACACAGGTTCAAGCCAATAGAAAGTCCTTATTAGCCAGCTGGTGACTAAACTGGGTATTTGGGACCCAAGTGCAGCCCAGAGCCTTCAGGATGGGCTTTTAGAGCACAATAATCATATCCTAGGTTGGCACACCTCAGTTAGCAAGAACAGTTAGCCAGAAGCAGAACTACAGAAGCCAAAAAGCAAGGTTAGTACATTCAGGGGCTTTCCCCAGAACTATGGTCTCTGATGGATTAATTAGGTCTTTGTTATGCTTTGGCAGTTGGTGCCACCTGTGCCCTGGATCCCAAGGCCTGAATGGTACTTCCATCATGGTGTCAGTTTTACAGAGGTCTGGGGCCTGTTGCACCATGACACCAAAAAATCACATTTGTCTTTTTATATTGACTTGAGTGTGTGTGTGTGTGTGTGTGTGTGAGCGTGTGTTGTGAGTGTGAGTGTGTGTGCATGTGTGTGAGTGTGTGTGTGTGTGTGTGTGTGTGTGTTTCCGTGAGTGTTCCTGTGCATGTGGAGGTTTCATGTTTTACTCTATTACTCTCCACCTTATTTTTGAGACAGGGTCTCTCACTGAACCCAAATTCACCTATTTTCTAGGCTGGCTGCCCAGCCAGCTAGGAGGGCCTACTTGTCGCCACATCCTCAGGGCTAGGGTACAGATGAATGCTACTAATGTTGGTGTTTTCATGGGTCCTGGGAATCCCAACTCTTTTTGCATGGTAGATATTTTACTAGCCAAGCCATCTCTCCAGTTCCCTATAATGGTCCTTTATATAGATTTATTTAAATATTTATGTAAATATGCAAATGCTACTAGAAATCAGGCCACCTGGCCCTCTCATTTGACTATCAGCTTCCACAAGGGAAAATACAGGGTGGGAATTCTGAGCTGGCACCACCCATCCATCACCCTCTATTCCATGACTCCAATTCACTTTCTCTTTAATGTCAGAATTTTCTGGAATTTGGGCACTTGTATTTGGTTTTAAAGTCCATCTCTCCCACCAGAATATATGTTCTAAGAGGTGAGAGAGCCTGGCTGCCCTCATGACCATCTCTCCAGACTTAAGAGCAGGGATCTTTGTGTACTGGTGTCTCAGATAAGTACATTGGATGACAGGTGAGGTACCAGACTGGTGAAATCAACTCTTCTTTCCAGGGTCTAGGAGTCTAATCACTAATCACACCTAGCAAAAAAGATGGGCTTGAATCTCAATCCATGGCAGCCACGAATGTGTTCTCATTAGACCATGGAGTTAAGGCGAGGTTACACTGGACCAGGACTGTCCAATGTCCTAATAGGAGGAGGGATATCTGGACAAGGAGACAGAGGCAGAGAGGGACATGGACATTGGTAAGACCAGGGATCCTCAGACTTACAGTAGCCAGAAACCACATGCAGAGAACCCTGAGCAGTCTCCAGAGGTCCCCCGGGTATACTGCATTGCAATCCTAGCCTCCAGAGCATGAGGACAAATTCCACTGTGGTGGTGAGAATGTCACCCTCCCAGGGCAGAAGCATATCAGATGGAGATCAGCAGGGTGGGAAGTGGTGTAAGCCAAGTGTCACCTGGCACGTTTGACTCTAACCAGCTGCTTCTCTGCACAAACACTGGTTATCGCTTCTGAGATACTGGAAAGACAGGACACACCACTACAAACCAAGCAAACACATGGAGGCTGCAGAGAGAAACTCCAGAAGCATGCTATTCCCGATACAACTTGGTGGGGGGTGGGGTTCTCTAAAATCAGACAAAGCATGTAGAATTTGGGTTTTGGGGTATGAAGGGTCGGACTAGCTTGTTAATGTTATAAAACGAACATCTGTAAAAATCTGGCAAGAACTGCAATGTGGTGTGTGATAGATTCATAAAGAGAAGAATGTATTTTTTTTTAGCCTTCTCTATTTCAAATCTCACTTGTTTCACAGGACACAAGTGCCCGTCCAGCCCATCCCTTTACATTCTTTCAAATCCTGGTGTATTTGGCCATCCCTGCACCGTCACTCTGACCCACTTCTAAGTCATGCATGTAACTGATTTCCCACTGGGCCTCTGACATCTCAGATGCTTCCTTCTGCTGCTTTGGGTGTGAGGCTACAGCCCCTGTGTGTGTGATTACAAATGGCCATATGGTGGTCCATCATGCAAGTGCTGCATGGTTTGTTTATCCAAGGGTGTAAATCTCCGGGCTATAACAAAAGGCTGAAAACCATTCCAAGTACAGAAAGCACCGGCAGTATTTCCTTTCTGCGCTGTGACTGAGTCCCCTGGAATTTCTTAACATCTTGCCAATGAATAAACAGCACTCACGCTCCTCGGGCATCTGTCAGAACTAAAGGCCTCAGATGTAGCTTTTAGGATAATAAATGGAATATGAAATAATAAACAGAAAACAAACACATGGTTCTTATTTAAGTGGGAGGATTACGGTTGGCCCCGTTTGAGAGCTAGGAGTCAGGGTGATTAAGGAGCAGAGCTGCCAGCACCGCAATGAATTATGGAGGAAGAGGGAGCAACAGTGTGGGAGAGAGCCAATTTGCTTGTGAAAACTTTAAAAATGTATGCTAGAGTCCCTGAAGCGGAGCAGCTCAGGAGTAGGAGCCTTGCAGCATCCATCAGCCTTCCTGGGGGGGGGGGGGAGGGGAGGGCGCAGAAGCTGACCGGAAGGAGACTGAGAAGCATCACGCTGTCTCTGAGATGCCGGGTGAGAAATGAAAGACTAGACCGTGCTTCAGGCTCTGCCTGTCTAGCTGTGGTATAGGTTCCTCTACCTCTTCCAGGGGTTAAGTATCCAATCACTCTCGGTACCGAGGAAGCAAGGTGCACCCTAGCCTTGCCAGGGTGCAAGGGGTTCATCTGCCCATGCACTCCCCATTCTTCCTTAAGGAACCCATTTTTCTTGATACCTCTAGCAGGATCCTGTGCCTGCAACCAAGGTCCTGTTGCGGAGTGCCCCTGTGCTTGAGAGCACCCCCACACTGCAGCTCATGGGCATTGTATTCCTCTAGCTGCAACTGACTTCCTGCAGGCTCTCTGCAGGCCTGCCAGCCTTCATCAGATCAGACCCTTGCATCCTAGAGCAAGGGAGACACAGCAGTCAAGCAGGCTACACTCACTTCAAAATAAACTTGCAGGTCTTGCAGCATGCAGCAGATCAATAGCTAGAAATATATTTATCATTATCCAACTTTTTAATTTCATAATTAATGGCATATTTTAAGTTATGTGGTCATCATTGCCCTGCTTTAAAATTGTAATTGGGAACATCCTGTAATTAGTGAGCTGTGTCTTTTGTAACAGTTTCAGATTTGTGAAAGAACAGAACAGCAAGTGGTGTGAGAAGTACCCCCTGTCAGCCTCTTGCCCGGGGTGGTGCATACATTTCTCTCCTTATGTGAACCAGGTTTTACATTAGTACAACCAAAGTCCATCGCTTGCCTAGTCTCTGCTCAGGTGTACTCCTGATGTTTTGCATTACATGGCTTGATAACGGTGCCCCCACCACAGCCTCCTAGAGAGTTGTTTCCCTGCTTTAAAATCCCGTGTCCTCCACCTGGTCACCCCTCCCTTATTGAGAACCACAAGCTTCTTATTATCACCACAAGTTTGCTGTTTCCAAGCAGTTATGGAGCTACACTCCTATAGCTTATTTATAGTCCTTTTAGACAGGTTCTTTATAAAGAAAAATTATGTGCACATGTGTGTTTTACTTGTGTGTATATGTGCATGCACATGCATGTGCACATGTGTGAAGGCATTCATGTGCGTGTGTGTGCGTATGTGTGTGCGTGTGCGTGCGTATGTGTGTGTGTGTGTGTGTGTGTGTGTGTGTGTGTGTGTGTGTGTGTGTTCTAGTTTCATTTCTGGTGCAGTGACAAAATACCCTGACAAGAAGCAACTTAGGGGAGAAAGGGCACGTGTCTCTCTTAGAAATATAAGATCGTTGGCAATGTCTCACCTTTCACTTCTGGTCTTGATGCCCTCTTTCGCCCTCGTCCTCTTTCTGTGCCCCAAACCCACATCAGCTTTTCTAGAGCATTGTTCATTTAATCAACCATTTAAAGAGCCACTGTCTAGTTCCATGACAGCTGTTTGGCGTTTTCCACTCCATCGATAATCTACTCTGATCTTTGTCATTTCCTCCTTTCTATCTGGGTTAATTAGTTTAGTTTTCCCAAATGTTCTCAACATACAAGCTTAGCTTACTAGTTTGATGCCTCCAGGAAGGGAGGGCTCCTGGACATGCTGGAGAGGTGTGGTCATTCCTCTTCACTACATCAGTGAGGACAGTGACCTTCTATTAACCTGACATATCAACAATGACTGTGTTGGTTCCCCTGGGCATCCCTGTCTCCAAAGCCTATCCTGGCTCTTCTTCTTCTTCTTCTTCTTCTTCTTCTTCTTCTTCTTCTTCTTCTTCTTCTTCTTTTCAATACAGGGTTTCTCTGTGTAGCTTTGGAGGCTGTCCTGGAACTACCTCTAGAGACCAGGCTGGCCTCGAACTCACAGAGATCCGCCTGCCTCTGCCTCCCAAGTGCTGTGATTAAAGGCGTGCACCACCAACGCCCAGAACCTGGCTACTATTCTAAAGGCCCAGTAATAGCCACTGTGTCTTCCTTTCTCAAGTCAACACTGATAAGCTGTAGCAACAGCTTACCTGCATCTTGCTTGGGTCTACCCAAATGCCTTGATAGCAACTGAAGTGTTTCACCCTAATCTGGGCATAGCCGCTCTGCCAGAGCCAGTGCTCAGTCCCTGGGGCAACATGGTACATGGTGCTTAAGCAATTCCTTGGGACTGTACCACACATCTTTGCATTAATAGGCTCTTTGATCAGTGCCCTCAGGTGTAAGCACCCACACTGTTTACAGAGTTCTCTTCTTCCCAGGTTTACTTTGATGCTGTGGATCGATCCACGGGAGAAGTTGTGGACGAATCCCTCATTTTCAACATTAGAATCAGAGATGTGAATGACCACGCACCCCAGTTTGCTGAGAAGGAATTTAACATCACTGTGAAAGAGAGCCAAGCTTCAGGTCTGTTGGGTGTGTTCTACTGAGTGAATACTCCTGTCTTGCTCTGTATGGCTCCCCGCTTCCTGCTTTGATAGCCATGAGGACTTTGATCCAGGTAACTCAGGGAGACTTCATTGCTCACATAAAAGTTGGAAGGCCCAGAATCATTGGAGGCTTTGCTCTCTGTCAGCTGTGTTTTGTGTTGGCAGTGGAAGGATGTGGACATTGTGCTGTGTGGAAGAGCTGGTGTGTAAATGTAGCCTAACAACAAAGCCACACCTACAGAGACAGAGAGGGACCCGTGGGAGGCTCACTGGGGCTCTGCAAGGGTCTCCTCTGCAGGATGGCAGGAAGATGACATCTGGCCTCTGGGTTTCAGAAACTAAATCTCTACATGATTTTCCTAGAAGGAGAATCTATTTTTATAATAAAAGCAGTGTTTAATATTTTAAAATAGTCTTTGGAAATTTCCAAGAACTAAAGCTGTGGAAATAGAAAGCATTTTCAGAAGTTTGTGAAATTTTAGTATTTTTTCCTTAGCGTTTTATATGCATGTTTACACACAATTTGTTTTGTTTGTGTTCACGCATTGTCAGGTTTTATATAGGAGTGTAAATACACATTTACATATATACTTTTTATCATAGCAGAAAATATACATGTATCAGTACTTAAACATTTATAGGCACTGGGTAATTACTTTCTTTCTTTTTTAAATCATTTATGGAGGATTCAGACCATTGATTTTTACAAAGATAATAAGCCAGAACAAGTAACAGAAATGCCAGAACAACTTTCTAGCAAACTGAGGGAAAATAAAGTTTTGTTTTTAACTTTTATATTTTTAATTAATTAATTTTACATACCAATCACATTTTTCCTTCCCTCCTCTCCTTCCCCCACTCCTCCTCGGTCTCCATTCAGAAGGGGTAAGACCTCCCACTGGAGGCAGGACCAAGCTTCTCCCTCTTACATCAAGGCTGGGTGAGGCATCCCACCACAGGGAATAGGGGTATTTCTTTTTTTATGTGTGTGTTTCCTCTTTTTGAAAGCTGTGTTGGATCAGTGTGATGGCTCAGCCGGTAAAGGTGATGCTAAAGCCTATACTCCAAGATCTATCCCCAGAACTCAGAGGTCGAAGAAGAAAACGGACTCCACAGAGCTGTCTGTCCTTGGACCTCCACAGTTGGTCTGTGGCAAGCATGCTCTCATCATACAGATGTGTAGCCATAATATAAATACTTAACCTACAACACTTCCCTGCACATCTTGTACACTAGGTCTTCTGTGGATAAGCCCTGAGATATCTTCCTTGGTCTCCAATTGTTGAGTGTTTTGTCAATGCCCTTTAAAAAGCATTTTTGTAAACTGTTTGAGGAACATACCTGAGCTAACTTACACTGCTGCCAGGCATCACTCATGATGTATAAGCTCAGGGGAGAAGACTGGCTGCTTCAAAAGGGCCGTGAGATTGACGAGGGTCAAGTACGCATTGGACAGCGGTGTGCAAGAGCGTGCCAAGTGTTGTCTGCATGTCTTTCCTACTATGGCTGAACATTTTCATACATCTCTCAGGCTTTTGTTTTCTTTTTAATCAATGGTTTGCTTCTTTGTTCTGTCCATTTTCTGTTAATGTGTTTGTTGTTTTCTTCCTGATCACAACTTGCTCCTTCCATGTGAAGAGCACATACTTGCCACGTACATTTCAAATGTATTAACTCAGTCTATTATCCACTTTCAAATTTTGTTTATGTTTTTTATACATTTAAAAACTTCATGAATCTGTTGTGCCCCCCAAACTCTTCTGCAACAGCAGTCATAGCTAGGAAGCTCTTTGAAGTTTACCCTTAGTTAAACTTCCAACTTTATTTTATGTAGTGCGTCTGTAAGCTGATTTCTCATTCAAACATCCCATTCATTCTGTTGTGTGTCCTGATGCCGTTTGTGAAGACTCTTCCCTCATTCTACTTTAGCAAACTACCTTCAGCCAGCAATAACATTCTTAAAAACTTCTTTCTAGGTCAACCTATTTTTCAGTTGTTAACGGTCGATTTGGATCAAGAAAACACTCCAAATTCTCAAGTCCTTTATTTCCTCGTTTCTCAAACACCATTACTGAGAGAAAGTGGCTTTCGAATTGATCTCATCAGTGGGGAAGTACGACTCTCGGGATGCTTAAATTATGAGGTTATGTAGATTTTATTATTTTAAAAGCACCAGGGCCGGTGAGCTTAATTCTGTCAGCAAAGAGCTTACTGCACTAGCAGGAGCACCTTGGTTCCAGCCCCAGCACCCATGTTACCTGAGTGCTGTGGCAGGGTGTCTATTGTCCCAATGCTACAGTGGCAGAGAAAGGCACATCACTGGGGCTTCCTGGCCAGCCAGTATAGCCAAATTGGTGAGCTCCGGGCTCCATGAGAGACATTGAATCAAAAATGAAGGTGGATAATGCCTGAAGAACAGCAGAACAGCACCCGTGTGTGTGTGTGTGTGTGTGTGTGTGTGTGTGTGTGTGTGTGTGTGTGTGTGCGCGTGTGTGTGTGCGCGCGCGCACGCGCATATGCACACACAGAATGTTGCTTACGCTTGAGCCCCAGATTGAGGTCTACATTTGCAGTTGGAAGTTTTTTGTGGTTAAGATTGCTCTGGAAATTGCTAGAAGGAAATATCTTTGTTAATGTTTCCCTCTCCTATGTTTGTGGGCTTAACATTCCTTCTCCTTTCCACATAGACTGCTCCTTGGTTTACTCTGGTAATCAGAGCCACAGATTGTGGAGAGCCATCCCTGTCATCCACAGCCATCATTCACATCAGTGTGGAAGAAGGCAACAACCACATGCCCACATTTATGGAAAACCATGTAAGGCATAGGCTGCCTAAATTGTAGGCCTTCTACAGATGGTCCCCAAGTCCCAGTCTTAGGTATTTCTTTCTATTGGGTCATGAGTAAGATACACACAATTCTCCAAGGTGACCTAGACTGGAACTAGGAAGTCCACCTGGGCCTAGAGAGATAGGCCAATCTATTCAACACTTGCTCCCCATGTGTGAAGACCCATACTCATATAAAACTCTGATCATAGTGGTATCCATTGAGGACAGGCAGGAAGATTCATGGGGTCCATTGGCAGCCATCCTTGCCTAATTTGTGAGTCCTAGATCTCAGAGGAAAACCTGTCTCCAAAAGCAAGGTTGGAGCCATCAAGATGGCTCAGTGGGCAAAGGAGCATGCTGTCATCCTAACAGCTTGTGTTCCATCTTTGCAACACAGATAGAAGGCTAGACCTGACACTTTCAAGTTATCTTGGTAGTGGTGGTGCGATGGTGGTGGTGGTGGGGAGACTTTGGCACAGGTATCTTTGTGCACACACAAATTGATTCTGAGAGGAATTTTCTTTGATGACCCCTGCATCCCTCCTGGTTACTGTGAGACTTTTTGTTCTTTCATCTTCTTGTGGTGTTCTAGTTAATGAATCTATTTATTCTAGTTTCTACCTAATCTCCTCCCCAACACTCACGTTCCATTGTCAGACCCTTGCCGTGCATTCTAGTGTCAGCTCATTATTATCATTTATTATTATTATTATTATTATTATTATTATTATTATTATTATTAATTGTTTTGCCAGGGCATAGTAATGTTGCATTAATGATTCAACCAATTAACTTTGTTGCCATTTAAATTTTTTAATTACATAAACCAATATAGAATGTTTTTAGATGAAAGCACCTCATTCAAAAGTTTATACAAATGGCAAAATAATGTCACAGTGAAACCTTGTGTGAGAATCCTTCCCTGGTTTAGGAAAAAATCTATGCACTCAAAAGTAAGTCTGGAAAAGAATCCCTTGCTGTCTGGCTGGGCTGGCTTAGAGGCTGTCTATGAAACTACTGGAAAATGAGCTGGTTCAACTATGTGTGCTGGTATTTACTTGACCCAAGTAAATATCTCCCCACTGTGGAAAAGCTAGGATAATTAAGGCACGTGGGCTGGGTGTGTATTGCATCTTAAAAATTCTCAGCAAAACAATGCACTGAGTTGGATTGGAAGAATGCTTTAAAATTGCCCAGCTTTAGACACAGTCTCAGGGAATGCCAGGTATAGGAGGAACCAAGCTCCTGACTTAAAGGTTTTTCTAATACGCCTGAAGGAATTCAGATGCTTGAAGGTCAAGGGTGTCTGGATGAGGGCCCAGCCCTTTCTTCTCTCCCTGCCCCTCTTCTCCACGGTGTGTCTGTGATGTGACAGTGATGATGATTTCTTCCAGTACAGGATTCAGATTTCTGAAGGTCAAGTCGAATGGGGAGTGTTGTATCTTCCTGTTCAAGACCAAGATTCACCATTTACAGCAGCTTGGAGAACACAGTTCCACATATTGGGTGGCAATGAGGAGGAGCATTTTGACATCATGACTGACCCTGAGACCAACCAAGGAGTATTAAATGTTATCAAGGTAAAGTCAGGGCCAGGTGGTGTGGATGCTGTGGTCCCTGTCGAGGGACAGCCGTGATGACTCAAGGGCTGGCTAGTGCCTGCTGAACACTCACTGTGTGCTGAGTGTCCTGTGCCACCCTTAGGAGAAGGCAGGACCCTCTGACCCCTTTGTGTAGAGGCCGAGGGCTCCTCCTGAAAAAGCCATAATAATCAAACCTTATTCTTTGATTTTTTTTCTGTTGTTGCAGGCAAAATTTACCACATTCACATAGGGCTGGAGTTTTTTTTATTTTTTTTCTGATGTGATAAAAAGTGAACTTAAAAAATATTTATTTGGGGGGACAGGGTCTCAAGTATTAGAGACTGGCCTTGAACTTCTGATCTTGTTTCTAACTCTAGAGTGTCGGGATTATGGGCATGCACCACCGAGCTTGCTTTATGTGGTGCTGGGGATCAAACCCAGGGCTTTGTGCAGGCTAGGCAAACGCATGGCTAGGTGGGCAACATTCACTCTTCCTTCAGAATGTTTCTCTAATTAAAAAGTTCTTGTTTATTCTACCTGGTTTAAAAACATATAAAACTTTGAAGTGTAAATATTGGGACATTCGTGTGGGTTGTAATGAGTGTGATCATGAGGAAGCTGGCCCTGGAGGAGATTATTGTGGCCATAATTTATGGGTGAGGAAACCAAAGGCCAAAGAGATCTTTATGTAAAGTCACATAGCTGAGAACAGTGGGCTCTGACAGAGGCAAGCAGCTGCCTTCAAGCAGACCTGAGAATCGCCAGTTCCTTCCTCACAGAGGACCAGCTGGTGTCTGGGTGGAGTCGAGATTCTCCCTGTCAGTTGGACAAGCTCCAGGAAATATTGAGGGGCCACAGTCTACACTGTGAATAGCAAATATCTGACAGCATGCTGCACAGTCACCTACCACTGAGTTTGCCAACCTTTTGGGTTCTCAGTCCTTCCAAGTCCCTGGCCACTTTGTACCCGAGTAGCTATGATCATTAGTATCTATATTTCTCTAAGTTCCTCTGATTTTTTTCCTGTGGCATGGTTAACATTTGAATGTTTCATGAGTTCTGGGTTTTGTTGCATTTTTTATCACCTTCTGATGGAGGGCGGCTCTGTGAGTCAGAGGAGGTGGAAGAGAGTGAACCCCATGAGTGATTTGAAAGGGAGCCAAAGATAGGCTTTTGATCACCTCCCTCCTCTGCTGGGTTTTTGATGACTCTGCTAAGCCTCCTCCAGCAGGGGAGCAGAGGGCGCTGATCAACCCTCCTTACCTCGACAGCCTTTGGATTATGAAACTCAAGCAGCCCACAGCCTCATCATTGTCGTGGAGAATCAGGAGCAACTCTTCTCTTGTGAGGAAGGCCAGCCACAGCCATCCACAAAGGCGATGGCCAGTGCCACTGTGAGCATTCACGTGGTGGACACCAATGACCCACCAGCCTTTCACCCCAGGAGCTTCATCGTCAGTGAGGAGGATGGAGCCAGGCCCGGCATCCGGCTGGGAGCTTTCAATGCTACAGACCCAGACAGGGTCGCTAGCCAGATAAGGTGGGCACAGAAGAGCAGGCAGAAGGGCTGGCTACAAGGTTGGCCACCGTCTGTTAGAGAATGTGGCTGAGACTGATTCAGTCTCAGGAGTAAAAATGTAAGAAGCTACTTGGTGAATTGGCTAGGTTAATCGAACTTGCACCCTCATCCTGAAGTACCTACCCTCCTGGAGTACCCCCGCTTACCCCACTTACTCCCTTTGACCTTTCATAGTCTTTTTTTTTTTTTTTGTACAAAAATGATGTGTTACATGTTTCTATGTTTTTCTTTGCCAGATGTTGTAGCTCTCTTGCTTCTGGATAAACACTTTTAACAATATTTGTTATTTTAAATGGAATACTTAATAGTCAATTCTATGTGGTGGTACATATGTGTTACCACTTTAAGAGTTCAGGCACTGGATACATTCATACACCACCCAGAACATGCTTTATCCAGAAGGAACTCTGTACCCAGTAAAGCCAACTCCCCAGGTCCCTCCCCAGACTCTCTTCCCACTTCCCCAGATCCCATCACTGTCCTGACCAGCAGGACGTCAACCTGAGGCAAGAGAGTCAGGGAGAGGGAATGGGGACAAGAGACACAGAAAGAACGACCACAAGACAGGATTCTGATCAAGTGGCAAACTTTACTTTTCTCAGGCTAGCTTATATAGTCGGCAGAGCAGGATATGGGGAGGGGTAGAGTGGGTTGTTTGTGAGCCACGTGTTAGTGTAGGCAGGATATTTTTTAGCAGGATAAAGAGTTCATGAGTAAGAGGTCCAGGAGTGTTTGCCTAGGTGCCTGAGCCTGTGGGTAGAATGTAGGGTGGAAGACTGGGTCAAGTTGTTTCTTTTCTTGAGCTGAGGTTCTAAGGAGCTGCTATGTAAAGATTAATATATAATTATGTGGCCTAGGATCTCATGCTAAGCCCTGAGATTTGGCTCCCAACACATCACCAAGCCCCTTCCCTCAACCTGTTTTCCAGTCCACTTCCTCACTTCCCTTCCCCAGACCCCCCCCCCCCCACCC